TATATAGTTGCATTCTCTTAATGAATAGAATGATTTGTTCTAATGGTGTTTGTAAGTAGGATCAAAAGTCCACTTCTTGTACAGCAATTAACCACTAAGAAGAATATATGCAGAGTATTATTTCTTGAAACTGTACTTTCAATTTGATTTGAAACTGTCTCATTGCTTTATGTTTATCAATAAAACTTTGAAAAGAAAAAAAACAAAATAAAATAACATAAATTTAACACATTTAGAACGTACTGTGTTTGTTAAGCAGACATTTGCATTGAAGGAAATGGGATGTTCATCCTGGTAGTTGTCTGGCTGGCTCTTACCATGGGCGTGCTGATCAGATCACTTAAGAGGCAAGGGGAAGGGTGTGTGCATGTGTGTTTGCAAGTGTAGTGTGCTGTGGAGCCAACAGAAGTAGGGGAAGTACAGGATAGGAGAGCACAATGTGAAAACACTCATTTCCTTCACAAGGGGCACACGATCGAATCTCAGCACGACAGATTACTCACCTGATAGAAAGAATGAAAGCTTCTTTCTCCTGGCTGTTGCACAATCACTCGAGACTAAGAAAAATACATATTAAAATGATTTATCTAAAATTGTACCCACAAAATAAAATGGAAGCTGCATTATTAGTGTTTTTTAAAATCTACATGCAGTACATATTTTAAATAGCTTAAAGAGTCTACATGGTACTCACCTAAGACCAGGCCTTCTAGAGTTTTCTTGGCATGTTTTTTTTACTAATTCATTTTATTGTTTAAAACAGAGTCGGGGGCTGGGGAGATGGCTCAGTGGAATAAACACTTCCCTGGCAAGCACCAGGGCCTGAGTTCAATCCCCAGTTCCGCCAAAACAAACAAACAAACAAACAAACAAACAAACAAACAAAACCCCACAGAGTCACTAAACTTTCTGAAGACTGGAGGCTTTTTTTGTTTGCTTGTTTTTGTTTTTTTTTTAAACTAGAGACTTGAGATGGTTCTTTGTAAGGCACAGGGCCTGAAGTGGGGAATATGTTGAATATTCTCAACATTCCTTTCCCTGAGGGCTTCCAACATTTCAAAGAGCCATGTCTTATATCCTATAATAAAGTCAGTTGGGCAAGTTCAGTCCCAAGGGACCCTTGCCTTAGATGGTTCCAAAAGCCTACTATTAAGAGAGGGCTCAAAACGTGTTCACAGAGGATCGTTTGATGGAATATGTAAATACAGTGATGCCATGAGAAATTCTGGGGGGGAAAAAGGTGGCTAATAATTGGCATTTTCTGTCCTTTTTCACCTGACTATCATAAGGAATCCTTAAGAATCTGATCTTAATAGAACAAGTGAAAATAGGGATTATTTTGTATTATAATGCCATAAAAAATGGTTTGGAGTAACTGGACCAGGCAAGCCTTTGACGGAGAAGGAACTGTCGGCTGAGGTCAGAGCACAACTCAAGGTGTAGAGTTTACCCATCAAACACAAGCTAAACCATGAAAATCAGGGGAATGAATGCCACGTGTCCTTGCTGTCAGGTGTAGTGATAATCAAGGTTAGCTAGGACACAATCCCTCGGGCAGTCCCAAGGAGAAAATTATTTTAATTGAACTTTTCTAGAAACCAGGCCTAACATTCACATGGGCAGATATGGAAGTATTTTAAGTTTTCACTGATCAAATATGGTTATGTTTCATAATTAGGAGATAAGACCATAAAATACATATATGATGCTACGAAACAGGGAACAAAGAGAATCTAGAAACTTCAAATCAATTGAAATTACAATGAATGGACAATGATGATGGAGAGAAAGACTAGACCTAATTAGTCCTAGATTAGCTTTTGTTTAAACCTTACCCAGAAGTTGACACACACTCATATCCTTGCCCCCCTCCATACGCACCCCGAAGTCCATGCCTAGAAAGTCAGTAACTTAATACTGTAAATGCTAATATAACAACACAAAGGGCACTATCTTACCACGGAAAGCTAATTGGAGGATGAATAGGATTACAAGCTAGTTTAAAGAAAGAAATGAGATTCTACATATTTAATCAAGTATTTTCTAAGCATTCAGCACATAAATATTATCCTCAGAAATTAAGCACATTTTACCTTCTCCAATAAGTAGTTATTGATATGCCCACCAATAGGATCTCCTTTGAAGTCAAAGTTGATATCCATATATTTTCCAAATCTGCTTGAGTTGTCGTTACGATTGGTTTTGGCATTTCCAAAAGCTTCCAAAACACAGTTGGACTTAAGCAACATATTCTTCACTCTTTAATACAGATACATAAGGGTCACTATAAAGGCTTCAGAGATGAGGACTTTAAAAAAAAACCTGGATTTTGCTATAACAAACGTAAACAATTATACAAAGATGCTGACTGCAGTATTGTTTCAATATTAAAAAATACAAACCACCAAAGTGGTAACCAGTGGGGACAGAAAAAAATATTTTGTTTTCCAATACAGTGAAATTCTATAAAAATGTTAAAAAGAAAATACATTATATAGAACAACATAGGAAGATGTTTAGAATATGTTGATGGATATGAAAATAGTATGTGTGGCAGGCTTTTTATGTGTGCATACATGCATCTGAGTGTCTTGTACATACGTGAAAACTTGGAGGGAACAGCACATGGCTCCGTGGTTATCTAGGTGAGAAACTGATGCAATGGTGAGAGGCCATGGTAGGATTTCAGGGAATTTTTACCTTTGATTTAATTCTGTAATGTTTTAGTTTTTCTTTGAAGTAAACGCATTTTATTTACATAAAACACATTTAAAAAGAACAGGTGATTAAGACAAAACATTTAAAAGTACTTGCTTATCAAGTTTAGAATGGTGAAATATTATTGCATTTAGTTATGCATCATAAATTTAGTCTTTACTAATTTGAGAATTGTTCATTATTTTCTTTGAAGCGGTATGTGATATCTCCTTTGTACCAGTCACTTAATGCACTCTTATTTCAATGGATGTTACCATCTTGTAGAGAAGTTCCTCCCAGTGGACACATCCTAACTTCATGCTTTTCCTTATGTCCTTATTTTTATTTCACTGAGAGAATCCTCTCACGAGTCATCTGCAAATTAACTGTGGCTTCTAAAATAAGTAACCTGATATAGCAGATCTAGTTCTTCCAATACACACCACAAAGTCCTTTATCTCCTCATGATTGGAAGTACTGTATGCTTTTAAAATCTGGTGTGGGGAGGCACTGCTTGCTTGCTCAAAAAGGAAGCTAGGACGAGCCATCATGATACTCCTATGAAAGACTAGTAAATTTACATATGCCTTACTGTACTGGACTGTACCAGAATTAAAATCAGTTTTCTGCTACTCTTCCCAAGCTCCTGATGAATTAAGAAACTTGATCAAATGTTTGTCCCTGTCCAATTAGACTGCAAAGTCAGAATCAGAAGTGGGGATATGTCAAAAACAATTGTTCCAGCAATTCTGTCCAACTCTGATGAAAAGAGAAAGCCCACACAGGGTTCTTGAGTATAAATTCTCTTCTTTCACATCAGCCTAGTATCTTGTCTTTCTGTTCACAAAACAGAAGGCAGTGATGTGGACATGAGGTATAATTCTGCAGTAAATTAATATTCAGCTTCAAAGCAGCCAATCAGAAAACATTTTCTTTTCAAAAAAGCTACATCACGTGACTCATCCACATGGCTGACACTGACAAAGAATCTACAATCTGAGGTACAGGATCTCAGGATAAATCCTGAGGGGATTTCACTGACCTTATCAGACCCAAAAGCTACTAAAACTCTTGTTGCATAGGTCCTGCTTTACCTTGGTCTTAATCATCCAGAAGAAAAGTATAAAAATGAAATATAAGAAGTAAAGCCATGCTGCTATGTTGAGCTGTGGGGGACTCAGGTCAACAATTTCTGACATTGCCAGTCAAGTGGAAGACCCAATACTATTATGGTCTACTGAACTCTTTTAGATTATTTTGCTGAGTTAACACACCTACAATATTCAAATAACGGAACTTAACAAAAAAAGGGTATACAGATGAATGTCCATTTTGTATCTGTGTATTCAAAGTGGTTAGGATAGATATATAGTTACATTCTCTTAATGAATAGAGTGATTTGTTCTAATGGTGTTTGTAGATAGGATATCATGTCTGCATCTTGTGCAGCAATTAACCACTGGGAGGAATGTATGCAATGTGTTAATTATTGAAACTGTCCTACCAATTTGATTTGAAACTGTCTCACTGCTATTTGTTTATCAATAAAATTATGGAAAAAATAAATAAAAACAAACAAACAAAAAAGCTACATCACATAAAGAAAAAACTAAGTCATATTGGTTGTGGTGGATTGACAACTGTGGGCAGCTTGTGACACCGAGATGAACTGAAGCATCAGGTGTTGGATGTGGAGGGTCCACCCAAGGATCACTCCAACAAAATAAAAAGAACTGGAGAAGAAGAGGTGTTGTTAGGGGACTGCTGGCTCTCCTGGAGAAGCTTATTATGCTGGCTTTCCTGATATGAACTCGGCTGTTCTTATTTGTCAGAGAAGCTCAGTACCTTGTTGCTGAATGGCTGTGGTGCTCTTGTGGGGAGCTCTGGTCCTTACTTTAAGTGTCGCTTCCTGGCTCCAATGCAGACCCATTAGCCTTGTAGCACAGATCTTTCATCCCACCAGCCCAGACTTTCTAGTTTCCACCACTGATTGTTGGGCCTCCCTAGCACAGATCGGTGAAACAGACTTGCTTGAGGCATTGTGTGGGCTCTAGCCCTCCAGCTGGACTCCTATAGGACACTTCTGTGGGATTCTGGCTCTCAGCTGGATTCTTTGGGTTTTTAGTGTGTGGACAGATTTCCTGTACTCTTTGGTATATGACTCTTTGGGTGACTATTCTAAAATAATCCTATAAATTATGTGTCCTGTATTGTTTTCCTTGCTACAAACTCTGGCTACAACACTGGTTTATGGCCAAATGCTTTAAAATCAGTTCATTTATTCCTTGTATATTTATTAAGCAAAACTGCCTATATGCTAAAATTGCCTAAACCTGGGGCCCCAGATGGGCATGGGTTAGGACACACCAACACTCTGAGAGCCTGAGGTAGGAGGCTTACAAACTCAAGTGTGAGATCCTGGCTCAAAATAAAAATAATTTACAAAGGCCAGGGATATAACTTGATGTGAAAGCCCTGAGTTCATTGCCAGTACTGAAAAAAGCGTGGAGGCCAGATGGTACAGACCAGCTTTACTGCTCTTCGTACCATGAGCAGCGACCTCGGATGGCACAAGACCCTTTTAGAAGAGAATCTTACTGCAGCTGCCCCCAGCAGTGGGTTCTGGTTGTAAACGATGGGAAGGCATGGGTCTGCCTTCCACAGTCCTGCTTCATTCACAATATAATTTAGAAAACAAAGAGCAAGGAATCTAGCTCAAACAATAAAACCTCCCAGTATAAATTATAACAGTTCTGCTGACCAGTTATAAAACTAGAATGAGGGTAATTTTAATTGGTCCAGAGTAGTCTCTTAAAAAAATAATTATGCAAAGCTGGGGAGACAGCTCAGTGGAATAAGTGCTTGCCTGGCAAGCACAAGGTCCCGAGTTCGATCCCTGGTACCACCAAAAAA